GAACATAAAGAAGACCCACGCTGGATCAGACCAAAGGTCCGTTTAGTCCAGCATTCATTCACACAGTGGCCAATTAGTTGCCCACAGGATACCACAAGCAAGACATGAGTGCTACAGCACCATCCCAGCCAAATTCCCTGCAAATGCTCATGTGTGTGCTGTCCTTGATCTAGAGAAAACATATAGCCATTAGGACTAGTAGCCATTGATAGCCTTCTCCCCCATGAATCTGTTCAATTCCCTTTTAAAGCCACCTGACCTACCTGTCTGTGGGTCTAGTGAAAGACTCTCACTGTCTCAAGCTTCTTACCTCCTGGAGGCACATCTTCAGTAGGAAAGGAGATTTGCTCATCTCCTGAGCATGGGCTCTTCTAAGTGATCACTTCCCTCTTCCTAGGATTGATGCCTTTCTTTCCCCATCTTCTGCGACAGTAAAGAAACTGCCAGCCATGGACTGGAACGCTGCTATTTGGTGCCCAAGGGTTGCAGCCATCAAACGTGCTGCCTCTCCTAGCTTCTCCAGGTCATTAATCTTTGCTTCAAGGGAGTGAACTTGTTTTCTGAGAGCCAGGACCTCATTGCACCAAGCTCACACTCATGATTTATGTCCAATTGGCATATAGTAATGACATGGGGCACTTAGTACAATACACTGGATAGCCACACCTCCTTGCTTGCTTTCGGTCTTAATAAATGGCTTGTTGTTGGTTTTGAAATGCCATTGTTGGGTTATTTACTTGGAAATCTAATTTGTTTACTAGGAGAAAGGGGAAACTGGAATTCAAGATATTTTATTTAGGAGACGGAACAATAGTGAATGGGGTATGTTTTTATACGGAGGAAAGGAGAATAGGCAATGGGTTGTTGGAGGGGCCAACAGACAAACGATATGTGATTTAGAAAGGGATATTGTTGGAAAGGCTGATTTTTTTTGTACATAATTTTTTAACAACTAAGTGATAGCCTGGATTCTTATTTTCTGAACTTCAGTTTCTGGGACTCTCTATATGACCTAAAACCTGAATGTACACTAAATTAAAATTAAGCTTTCACTGTTTTGTTGATAAGGTCTGTGCAGTGGCTTTCATTATAGACCTATATATTGCTTTTCTTTCACTTTTCTATGCTTGGCTTAAGTTTAAACAAGGATTATCTGTTTGAGCAAGGCTGCAAGAACTGAATTCCTGCTGGATTTCTCCCTGGAATTTAGTTCCTTGCCATAAGGGTAGGGTAGCAATAAAGCAATATTATTAAAATGTATGTATATCTTGCCTTTTTTCCCCTATTGTAAGGAACCCAAGGCAACATACATAGCTTCATTTCATCCTCACAATAAGAACCCTGTCAGGTAGGTTGGGCTGAGAGTGCATAACTGTCCTAAAGTCACCCAGGGAGCTTCATGGCATTATCTTTATTAATAAGTGAACCAACTTTTGTGTTAATGAAAAGCTCCAAGTTAGGATAGTGATGAAATGACAAAATAACAAAAACAAAAGACATGTGGAGGGAGAGAAGATCACAAAAGGCAAGCTGAAAAAACCAAGGTTGGCAGATAGAGAAGCCTTAACAACTTAACCTTTACTAATGCTTAGTGGAATATATAATTTTCTAATTGTATTAGAAATCAGAGGTTGCCATGGTAGCACAGGTTTTGAAAAGAAGCTTGCCAATGGAACTCAGTCTTTTGAACAAACAGTTCTAGAGAATCCATAACAGAGGGATCCAGAAGGCTGAAGGCAATCTACCTCCCCCATGAAAACTGAATGTGTTGAGCCAAGGATGGAGATTTCCAATTTTCTTACTCAATACAGAGGCACAGAAATAATTAAATACAAGTAAGTGCATTTTGATCTCTAATTCTGGAGCCATATATATCCTGAAGCATATATATTTACTACTAGGAAACTGCCCCTATAGCCTGTGAGGTGCCCTACTCTCATACCTGACTCTGGGTAGAAAAGGTGCATTGACCTGTGATGCCCCTAACCTGTACATTGAGCTGACTCTACATCCTATATGAATGAGGAATTGTGGGTTTTCACCCAAGGTAAACTATAGGCCACCTCAAATCATGCAGGCCTACTAATGGGGGATGGTCTCCTTTGAGATATTTTAGCAGTATGTCTGTCACAAGGTGTCCTTCTTGCACAATCTGCACTCAACCACGATGTCCCCATGCCAGTGTATCTACCAACAGAAAAGGGGTGTGTGGGACACCCTAAAATAATCCTTTCCTTCAGTCATGCCAGAGGATACACTTTTGCCACCAGGAGAGTGCTCCCTTTGTGATGTTGTTACCAATTGCAGCACCCCAAAACACCCCAAAAGTAGTTGGCCAGAGGGAGGCCACATAGTAAAAACACCACAGTTATACTGTCCCAGAAGGCAGGGCGGATAAGAACAAAATGAACTTTGTGTAACCCACAGCTAACAAGTGAGCCTGACCTCGAATACAGTAATCAAAGGGACAGTGGAAACTGGTTATAGCTGCCATGAAAGTTTCAAATGTGCAGGGAGGAAGAACATGGCAAGCCTGTGTGAATCTTGAGCAGATAAGAAATAGACATGGGAAATGTCTGGTCCCTGACAGAAGAAAAGACTCTTTGAAGCTAACAGCAGTGATGTACTGATGCATTAGATGTGTATTAGGTGACCTAACCGCTTACCTAGGGTGTAAAACGCATGCACTGGGGTGCAACTTTCGAGACATTGCTTTGGGCTGGATGTCCCCTTTTATCTCCTTTTAATCTATAGTGCACTAGAATAAAGCTGGTTTTGGCTCTTAGTCTCATCTCAGGCTCCTTTTGACTCGGGTCTGGGGTCCACCCGGGTTTGCCCTAGCTGTTGACTGGCTGAATTTGGTAACAATGTGGTAGTGATATACAATTTGAAATGGCTCAGATATTATTTTAAAGAATGGCTGTTTTGAATAACTGAGATTCAGAAATCAGCTTCAGGCTGATATAGTTATTTTTAAAATTTGAATTTATGTTGCAGCCTCTTGGTATGTTGGCTCCTTTCCTATACCCTAACAGCAAGAAATCAGACAGACACAATTGAATACCACTGTGTTATCTTGGATCAGAAAGCTGACATGGGGGATGAGATAGTTGGATGCAAGAAGCAAATAAAATGCCTGCATCTTGTACAGATGATACAGCTATAAGTACCTATCACTCAGTGAGGGTGGTGGAATCCTACACATGTTTAGACACAGGACTTTTTCCTGCCTAGAGATGGTAAGGTTCCCCCCCCTCCCCGCCCCATATGTCTTAAAGCAAAGCATGGTTGATTCTGTGCTGTTTTGCTGCCACTGAGGGGAGGATATTGATGTTAATGTGGGAGGGTAAGGTTGTTAGTTATTTGGAGGTTACAAAATGTAATAAACAATCTCTGGATAGTTACTAATAGACTTAAACTATATATTTAAATAAAAATACAAGAATAACTAGGCTTTGTATAATTGGGTGTGAAGGTATGATTACACATTGAATGAGTGTGGAAGCACATATAATTTGCTGAGTTCATTTTCCAGGGAGTGCCCCTTACTTTATTTCAAAGCCGAAGAGCATAATCCACACCCTGCATGCTGTACTGCTATGTGCACAGTGCATTCTGAACCAGCAGGCCGTTTCTCCTTGCCTTAGCTGAAGAGGGCAGGAAGGGCAGAGGTCCTCCCTCATGACACAGCACGGCAGCACCAAGTCTGCTCTTTCACTAACAGAGAGGTAGTACGACTTCTTGCTCTGGCAGCTGTTTGTTGAGGGTCCAAGGCCAGAAGGCCTTAATGGCTCTCCAAGAAGACATCCGGTTCCTTATTGCAGCTAACAGAATCCTCCATATGTGGGGCAAGGACATAGGAAATCGGTGCAAAACCCCTTAAACTAGGTTAGTGGGTCCAGTAATTTTGAAAGAATCAAGACTTGGTCTTTTGCATTGCTGCCCATTGAATAGAGTTTAAAGGCAAAGAGGTGTAACTTGCAGGCTGCTCCTTACTGTAACACTTATCTGTCACTCTCAGAATAGACAGAAAACACAGGGAAAAGAAGCTGTCTGTGTACATCCGTACTTCAGTGATTTTAAAGGCTGCATGACAGGAAGAAATACAAAAGACTCTGCCTCTCCCAACATAGAAATGTGGGAGAGAGAGAGAAACAAGCCATACCCGTTGAATTCCTAGCTACTGAGGAATTTTTTTAAAGGGATCGCTTCCCCATCTTGAAGGCCAGGACTGCCGCAGTAATGCTGAAAAAGCATGTTTTAAGGAGTGATCAGAGGTCCCTCGAACTTCTGTTTCACTTCCAACAGCACATGGGTGTCAAGCAAGGCCCAGCTTATCCTGGAAATGTCTTTAGTACGGGACATTTCAGTCTCTGCTTTGGTATGTACTTCTCCCTTTGTTGCTCAGTCTTTTCCCTGCAGTTTCTCTCTCAAAAAGAAAAAAAAACTAGCCAAACAAGGCCAAAAAAAAAAAAAAAGAAAAAAAAAAGAAAAGAAAATCCCGCAAATGCAACACACGTGCTCGGTAAAATCACGTAATCTCAAAATGAAGTGCTGCTTTAACATTACCTGGACCAAAGATATAATCCTATGCATGATTAGACAGAAGAGTACTACAACTCCCAGCATGCCCGAGTAATGCATAGTATTGCACCCTATTTATAAACAAACATAAATTAAACCAATACACTGCATGCCATAACAATCCCCTCTTGCCTACACTTACCACAGCCTAACTACATGAAAACATACAGAGAAACAACCCTCCACCTGCTCCAGGCAACAGCGTAAATTGAGACGGACCCTTTCAGGAGCACGGCATTTCCCCCTTGCTTCCGCCACTCTTGCCCCGCACATGCGAGGTTTGTAAACGGGACCGGAAGTGAGGGAGGTAAGGCGCCTCTTCTTTGTTTTGGTATTGTCTCTTTAAACTCCTGCCGAGGGGTCACAGAGGCGGAAGTGGCCGTCGCTTCCGTCAGAGTTCCGGAACCAGCCGTGTCGTGGGTACCGGCCTCAGAGTTTTGCCGGCCGCCGCCGGGCTCCCAGGCGCGGGGAGTCCTGTTGCCGTGAGCTGGGCCGGCGCAGCCGACAGCGCGCGGGGAAGCTGCTGCTGGGCAAAGGAGCGGCGGCGGCGGCTCTGCTTCCTATATGGGCCACTTTCTCTCGCGGAAGGGAAGCATCCAGAAAGCGGAGAAGAGCCGCCCCCGCAGTCGCCCCCTGAGGGGGAAGGTGCCGCCGCCGCCGCGGAACCGGAGCTGCTTCCTGCGCGGACCCTGCATGCTCTGCTTCCTGATCCACAGCGCTAGCCCGCCTGCAGCGGACGAGCAGCCTCCCGCTCCCCGGGACTCCGCGCCACCGCTCCTGTACGCGGCTCTGCAAGCCCCCGAAGAGCGCGCCGCTCGCCGCCTGCTGCGCTTATCGCCCGTGGCCGCTTGGGAAGAGCGGGGTCGCCACTGCCGCCGCCTGCTCCTCTCTGGCCTGCTGTTCTCGCCGCCGCCTTCAGCGCGCCGGGGCTGCTTCGGGCCTGCGCTGGAGAGCGGCGAGGCTCCGCCGGAGATGGTGTGCAAGCGTAAAGGAGTCGGGCTGCCCGCCTGCCCGCCCCGCAAGCTGCCCCGCTGCGCCACCATCACAGGGACTGTGGCGGTGGCCGGGAGTCCTTCGCCCCCGCCCGAGGCCACCGCTTGCCCACCGGGCCCCCTACCCGAGCAACACCTCTGCCCCTTGCCCTGCGCCTCGGACCGTGCCAGAGGAGGCTCGCCGAGAGACCCCTCTGAAGAGAACGGAGACAGGACGGGATTGACCCCGGCAGGATCCCCATCGCAGCTGCCGGAGCTCGGCGGGAGGGAGAAGCATGAGCCCTGCGAACCGGACTGCGAGGAACCACCGGAGAACCCAGGTGACTGCTGTCGGGAGCTGCAGCCACCCTCACCAGACATCAACCAGCTACCGCCCTCTATTCTTCTTAAGGTGGGTTTCTGAAGTATGGACAGGCAAGGGTGGTGCTTTCAGGTAACCACACGATCTGGAGGCTCCCAAGGTATGCAGGGAACAGTTACTTCTTAATACCTTGTCTTGCATTCTTTCAGGCATTCCGTTCTTTTCTATCAGCTCCTCCCCAGCCCTAAGAGCACATTGTGGGGTTCTTGAGGGCCTGTATTAGATATGGTACTCATTCACTTGCCTGTTTCTCATATATGGGCCAGGTTGGTTTGATCTAGGGTCAGCAGTAGCCCCTGTGATGTGAGAATGCTTAGTCAGATGATTTTCATCCTCCTATTCCTCCACCTAATTAGCAATTGGGCAAGCTCTTGCATAGAATGGTATTGAAGGCAAGGTAGTTGTTAAGAACATAGGTCTTCTGGCAAGTAAAATGTTTGGTCAGTTTATCTCATTATTCCCTGCACTGACTGGCACCCAGCCCCCCCACAATTTCAGAGAGGATTCTTTCCTGCTTTCTACCTGCAGACGTGAGGAATAGAACCTGGGACCTTTTGTATGCACAGCATATGTTCTGTCTCTGAGATACATCCCCTTTTGTGTAGCGTTTTATGGATCTCTTATTATTTGGGCTTGTGGTCAACCCAAGGCTGGGGGATACCTTTTTTAGAGGAAGGTTTTGATACCTTAGCAGACCTCACTGTCACAGAAAATGTGGGGCAACCTAAAGAATCCTGATTAAGGGATGCCTCATCTAACAATCCAAGGAATCCTTTGACCTTACCTTTACTGTGGATTCTGGTTCTCATCCAAATCCCATGGCTCATTGCCACACAGCAGTGGTGAAGCAGGTTGGGATGTTCAGAGTTGTTGGAGTTTCTACATGGTTGCAGAAAGGCACTTTCATCTCATGCTTACTCAGGAGGAAGGGTCTTCTGATTCTTGATCACTGACAAGGCTAGGCTAGGTCTCTACCCCAAGAGAACAATGCTTTTTGAATATAGTTTTGTTGATGAATTTAGTATTTTTAGCAGTTGCCAACACAGATTATTCAACATGCAAACAAGTTCTACTTTTTGGTCAGCCTTTTTTATGATAGAAAAGTGTTAGGAGTACACAGCTGAATATTTAACAAAGCTATGCTCTGGTTGAAATTGTGCCTTAGAATGTCTACTTCATTTATTTTAGTACTATTTAGATTGTACATTATTATACAAGAAACTAAGGAAGGAAGAAGTTTGCAAAGTTGGGTATTGTTGTGACCTGTGCTGTAAAAAGCGTAAGTGAAGAAACGTGAACCTTTGGTACACATTTTTCCATTTAAGTGCCTGAAACTCTTCAAGAAGCCTGCTTTGCATTACACAACTCTGACATACAATAACTTCCACAGATGACTCTTTCAATATAATAAACCTTTTTTTTTAATTTTTGAGATCTATCCTCAGAACAGTTAATGGGGCTTTAAGGTTGAAAGTTGTCCTTTCTTTTTTGTCTTCAACAAATCCAGCTTCATTGCTACCTCTTTGGGCTTTTTTCAGTCTTTTCTCTGTTTTTATGCACCAGCTGGCAGTGGTATGAGCAAAATCAAACAACACAGAGGAAGATAATGAGAAAAGCAGGTAGAAGGAATTGGGAAGACTGCTGCTGGCCAATCTACACATTGAAGAGCCAGAATATTTCAGTGGCACACACTAAAGCTGTTTTGTATTCCCACTAGTTGAAGTGTAGATTTTTATAGTGAAGATTTATAATATTTTGTGGAATAGCTTTTTTGTTTTGTCTTTTATATATATTGGGAAGATCACCCATCTACCATGTTCCTCAAACAGATTAAGTAGACAAACCCTTAAGCAGCACCGTGCCCCTGCAAGAATGCTGCTCAACCTTATGCTTGTCAGACTATGAGAACATTGCTCCTGTGACAGAGATGTTGGCCTCTTGATGTCCAGGAAAGCTAGTTGCTAATTAGGTCTTAAGCCTGTTCAACATGATCTGCTCATCTGCATGAGACTAGCATGTCAGTTAAAATAGGATTCACAGAGTTTTGGGGCTTGCAGGCATCCTGATAGGACTGTGCCCATATAAGTTTCCTGTAATTATTTAATCTGAATGCTTATAATAGATTAATACATAATGGAATGGTGGAAATCAGTGGAATATCTGTGTTAAATGCATGCTTAGAGGAAATGTATTTGACTTAAAGAGTCTTGTTAACATATTGCAAACATGATCAAAGTTTTAGAGCAAGGAAGTATCAGCATGATAGGATGGAAATTTGAGACATTGCCTTAACTCTTTTTGTTCCTTTCCTTTTCATAGATATTTTCCAACTTATCTTTGAATGAGCGATGTCTTTCAGCATCATTGGTTTGTAAATATTGGCGTGACCTCTGTTTAGATTTCCAGTTCTGGAAGCAATTGGATCTCAGTAGTCGTCAGCAGGTATGAAGGAAGATGCATGGAAAAATTAATGCCTTTGACCATGTCAAAACAGATCCTTTGTCTTTTGGTTGTAGAAGTGAAACCTGTAGTCTCTTTTCATTCTGCTTGTGGTGGCCATTTCCTCCTGTCCTTCCCAATAGTCCAGGACAAAGGTTTCTGAACTAAAAGTGTTTATGATTTTAGAGCTGACAAATGAAGATTGTTGCAGAAGTCAATAGCAAAAGGCACAAGCAAAATTAGAATACTGACAATTAGGGAAATGCAGTTTAATGCTACGAAATTGATTCCTAATTGAATACCTTTCCTCCTTTCCAGACTGAAATGAGCAAACTCTTTTGAGGCAGATACTCCTGCCAGTTGCTTGGAGGATCTGGTGTTTCTCAGTTGTTCAGACCTCTTAACCTTGATGCCATACTCTCTGATTAATTACACAGGGTGCACCCTCTCCCCATACTTCCACATTAGCATGCTCACTAAACTTAGGTACAGCATTTGAAATTGCGTGTGTTTGAGCAACCTTCTGGCTTATCTCATGAGTCCATTGGCCTTGTTTTTTTAGTTGTGGATCCTTAGCCATAATTGTCTTGGATTGGCTGATACTTTCATTTGTTTTTTCATGAAATTAAAAAGAATAAGTTATGAGAATGTTAATGTTCCCTATTGAATTTTGTTTGGTAGGTCACTGATGAGTTACTGGAAAGAATTGCATCAAGAAGCCAGAATATAACTGAAATCAATATTTCAGATTGCCGTAATGTATCAGATACAGGAGTATGTGTGTTAGCATCTAAATGTCCAGGACTTCTAAGGTATACAGCCTACAGATGTAAACAACTGTCTGACGCATCTATAATTGCAATGGCCTCGCAATGCCCTCAGCTGCAGAAAGTACATGTGGGCAACCAAGATCGGCTCACTGATGAAGGACTCAAACAAGTAAGTTTTAAATATTAGTAAAGTATCTTTGATACCTGAGAAAACTTCCTTTATATGATTTTCATCGCAATTTTGTGTACATCTGTTCAGAAGTAAATCTCTCTCAGTTCAGTGGGACTCAGGTAAGTGTTCCAAGATTGTAACCTTAAACTACCTTCTTATGTCTATTTATTTGGGAGTAAACTCTCTTCAAGCTGTTGTGAGCCTCCCCGAGGCTTTGTTGCGATGGGGGTGGCATAGAAATGTTTTAAACAAATAAATAAAAAATAAAAGCTCAGGAGTATCCAGTTTTAAGTGAATAAGCATAAGAATGAGAAGTTCCAAGGTGATGCATTTTATTATAATATGTACAGTAAAATCAGTCAAAATCTCTTGTTCTTTTCTGGAGAACCATAGCATGACAAAAGTCAGCATACTTGTGGATCCTTACTTGACCATCTGTCACATTCTAAGTTGTGTTGCGTTTGTCAGCATTTATATATATTTGGAATCTAGGTTAGAAGTAAACATGTTGTACACTCAACAGCCACGTTTTCTACCTCCCCCACCCTTTTCTCTCTGTATGTGTTCCTAAGCTTTTTCCTTGGTGCATAAGTCAGTTCATGATGCAGAAGTTTTCTTTTTTCCACCTGATGCTCCCAGGGAGGCTGTGGAACTCCTGAACAAACATGTAGATTCACTTCCAGGACTGGGGAGGGAGAACAACCTGGAACCTATTTTGGAAAGATAGCAATTTTGTGGGTTGGGAAGTCTCTTGATCTGATTAGTTGTCTGAATGGTGTTGAATCCTGTCCCTGCCTTGGAAGGACTGAGTGTGTAGCTTGGTGGTACACCTGAATTATCATTGCCTGTTGAAGCACTTTCTGTTGACTGTCTGGTAGCAGTCGGCAATGCTCTGTAAACTCTGGCCTTCTGCAGCAGCTATAACCCTATTCGGAGAAGTCACACTTCACCATGGATAGCCATGTTTTCATTACCTCTAAGCTAGACTACTGCTGCTCTGACAGCTTTTTTTAATTGAATAATAGGGTAAACAAATAAATACATGTTTTACATTGGGTTGTCTCTGGCAACTTTCCAGTGCAAAATGTGGTCATCTGGATATTGGCTGGGGCTAGAATATCAACATAACTCCAGTGCTGTGTCAATTGCACTGGCTACCAGTATGTACCCAAGTCCAAAGGCAATGTAAAGACATTAACACTCCTGATTTCCAACCAGTAGACCTGTGCATTGCCCCTTCTAGTATTTAAGCATGGTTTGAAGATTCTTCCAGGCTGTCTTTGATACCATGATGTATGAAGTGCTTTGTAGAGTAATTCTGAATATCTGATCTCCTATGACAATATTTAAAATGTAACCTGGATTTTACAACTTTTTATGTTACTTTGGTGACATATAACTGCTAAGGGCAACTTAGAAGTACTTCAAATAAATTGATACTGCTTTCGGTTGAGACGTGGTCTTACAGCTTCCATTTCTTAGTAGCTGAAGATAATTATTGATTTAAGGGTGATAAGTGGAATTGAGGTCCTGATTCATATAATACAGTTTATTTTATACATGTTATACATGTTTATATAATAGCAGAAATAAATTGGGCAGCTAGCATGCATTATGACCATCTTGAATTTTTGAAATCTATGTTGCCATAAACTTCATGTTTCATGAGTAATATTGCTTCTTGACTAATCTCATAGTTAAAATTTATATTCAACTTCTAGCGAAGCAAAGTTTGTATACTTAGGTCAGCTAGAGGGCGAGCATTAATGACAACCAGGTTTCTATATTTATGCACATGTTAACTTCATTTGCAGCTGGGCTCAGAGTGCAGAGAACTGAAAGATATTCATTTTGGACAATGTTACAAGATCTCAGATGAAGGAATGATCATTATAGCTAAAGGATGCCTGAAGTTACAGAGAATATACATGCAGGAAAACAAATTAGTAAGTACTTATCATATATTTAAATGAAAAATGCCTGCATATTTTTCCAGCTTCTCCGCCACGGCCAGGATTTATTAGTGTATGCTAGGTACATTTTGTAAGATAACCTGTTTAGAAACTTTCATATTCTGTTGATATTAACTTGCAATGCAAATAATGATTTAAAAACTGACTCTCAAGAAAGCCTATATTAATAGGTATTGCTAAATGTAGTATGCTAGCTCAAAGTAATCTCAGAACTGCTCTTCTCTTTTATGTTTGAGTAGTCAGTATGAACTTAACCAATACTTTAGGTAAAGTTTTGCTGCAGTCTATCATGTCTACTATTCCTAAACTGGCTTCCTGGTGGGCACAAAACATTCTCTGAAGAGTTCTGTATATTTCCACATTGTAATGCTTTTTTTTACATGGGTTGATTTACATGTCTAAAAGATTTTTTGTTGGCCAGTGTAGACTGGATGATTTACAAAAACAAGTAGAGTCACGCAGGAATGTTGTAATGATAGCTAAATGAAACTTGAGTGTATATATTCAGTGCATTTTAATATATTACATTTCTGTACAACACAATAGCTGAAGCTTTCTGAGAGGTTCACTGAGTATACTGGATCCAAACAGGAATGGCAGTTACAAACAAACCCTGCTTTTGAGGTTCCTGAATACTTCTGTCTAGTTACTATTAGACACAGAATGCTGGGTTAGATAGACTTTCACTCTCAGTCAGCAAATAACAAAAACTTAACTGGCAGTAATGGATCTTGGTTGTAAAACTTTGCATATTTAAATAGGATACTTTGTGCCAGTGTTAACAAATGAAATTGGATAACTAATACTACTTATATAATATTTTCTCATTTCCCTGAGGTTTGTTTGTTGTTTTATTTGGTACATCTATATTTGTTATATTTACATCCTGCTTTTTGCTCCAAGGAGACCATTAAGGAGCATGCAATCCTCCCATTTTATTTTCACAACAATCCTGGTCTTAAAGTCATCCACAGAGTTTTATGGCTGAGTGTGGACATGAACCTGGATCTCTTTAGTCCTAGTCCTCCACTACTACTTCACTCTGGGTCTCTTTTGCATGAAATTGGCCGTTCATCGTAAACTAGTGATTGTGCTGCAGCTCTTCTCAAGCATGCAGGTCTGGTTCTGACATCACACTTTTGCCTTCACAGACATTGCTTGGACTTATTCCTTTAAAAAGAAGTGGAAAATAGTTTGAAATGGAAAACTCTCATGGACTTCTGATTCTGATATAAAGTTTTCCAGGTGGGTCCCTCAACAGCACTTCAGTGGAAGAGGCTTTGGGGTAACCCGCTCTTTCCAATATACTTAATGCTTATTTTCATGAGAAATTGGCTGACATGGCAAAAATCACTCTACTCAAATATTTTTTAATCACTTAATTAAAAAAAAAACAACTTTGAGGAAGTTAGTTAGAAAAACAAAGTTGCTGGAATACTTTTGAGAATTCATAATGTATATTTATCCAATGTCCTCTCTGTAGTAAATATCATTTACTGCATTTAATGCATAGAAATAATATTGCCGGAGACACACTCCTTGAATATATTAAATAGGTTTGCTAATCATTTTCTGTTGGTCAAAGAGGATGACAGTTCCATCTTTTATTGAACTATCAGTTCTAATCTCCCCAAAAGTCTAATAAATACCTCTGTGTAAGTGTCAAGACACTTCAAAAGTCCATTAAACTACTAGTGTCTCTCTCCAAGAGGAAAAATGAGCTCTCTCAGAATTGCTCAGACTGTTCAGATATTTTGATCAACACTTAGGAAACCCTCATGATTTGTAAACAACCCAAAAACAAAAGAGTGAACAGTGATGCCACATCAGATGTAGTTTAGTCAGAACCATTAAGCCTTAGTTCAGTAACAGAATACTTTGAATGTAAATGGATTCAATCACTGGTATTTCCAGGAAATCCTGGAGAGCTGCTGACTGTCAGTACAAGTAATATTAAACTAGCTAGACCAGTAGTTTTATATGGTACGAGACAGGTTCCTACATTCCTAATTTTGTTCCTGGAGTATACTTTGCAAAACCTGATCATATACATACTTGGATACTTGATTCTTCCCCCCCCCCCCCAAAAAAAAAGGAAAAAAACATCATGGATAACAAAAGTAGAACTACTGAACCATCATTTCTTATTCTTGAGCTTGAAGGTTTCGAGATCTAAATATCTGCTAAGAGCTGGATAGGAATTTTAAAGAACTGTTAAAGAAAATTTAAAGGAATTTTAAAGACAGCCATAGGAGCCAGTCATGTGGCTGGCTATACTTCCAATAGTTTGAAGCACTGTATTTAACTTTTGCAGAATACAGGTGAGTTTGTACACACCTGTACACAAAAGGTTTGTTATAAGAATGAGACTGGGTGAACTTCCTATGATGAGCATTGTTTTTGATTGTGCTGTAGTTTTTCTTAGGCCTACACAGGAGAAATTGTGATTTATTCTAACTGATTAGCTAATAAGCAAAACCTGGTTTCATATCCTGGTTTAGCTAATCTCAGAATGTACCATGGTTTTCCTACCACTAGCATAATGGAAAATTCAAGTTTATGCAAGAGTAACTGGATAACCAAGTGTGTGAGTCAAAAATGTTTTCTTGTAATGCCAAACCATGATCAAGGAGTAAATGTAGCTGCATTGCTTCTTTTGTACAAATGTAATTTCTTGATAATGAGAACTAGTGTGATGGCCACATATGAACTGAATATCTGACATTACATGGTTCATTATATTGTCTCAGTCACAAACTTGCCAGCCTTTACCACCATTTCTCAGAATCAGTGAACTTCTATCCCTGCACCCCAGTAAGACAGAATTATAATGTTGGCCTGGCTTTCAGGATTGTACCAAAGATTAGGGAGAGAGACACATTGCTCTTTGGATATTTGTCTATGCAGATAATGATATTTTGCCTTTGGCCCATCTTTGTATTAATGGTGTGTGCTATGTTGCCCTTGCTTGCAACTGGTGTGTTCACTGCTGATGTGAGTGTATGTATATAGTTGGTACTGGGCTTGCAAAATAGAGGAGTGTGTATAATAAAAATTGCAGTGCTTGATGGTGGCCATGAAGACACTCAAGTTTTTCAAGCCTGGAGGTTGCCAAGGTATCATTGTCACAAAACCATTCTTCATATCCTGTTGCTAGCAAAGTGTGCTGTACATACAGAAATTTATCAGGTTGTTTCAGGCCTAAGGGCATTTTTCTTCAGCAATAGCCTCTAGCTGAGTCATTTTGCATCACAGCATTGCATATTTACAGAGCAGTTTGGCAGTCTCTCTTAGATGAATGCAGTGAACATCCAGAAAAAGAATTCTAAACCTTACAGAAAAAGTTTTATATTTTATATCTAAACAAAGTGTCTCTAGATCCATGGACAGCAAAATAAGTGTGGGGTTTGAAACCTTATGCTAAATCATTGTGATTTTTTCCTCCACAGTTTTTATTTATATTTTTACATAATCCTTTGCTTAAGAAGCTCAGATTAATGGAGGTCTACCTTCTGATGGTCTAGAATCTTTCTCAACTCTAGTGCCTTTTACAACATCTCAGAAATGAATGAGGCTAAAACTTTCAAAGCAATCAGTGGGAACATGAAGGAGCAGGATTGGCTTAATTTCATCAACAGAACAATCCTATCAATACCTAGGCATGATCAGCCTGAGAAGTAGGTTTCCTCAATTCATAGAGAGTAGAACTGGAAGGGGCCATGAAGGCCATCGAGTCCAACTCCCTGCTGTTGCAGGAAACCAAGTCACACCATCCCACTCAGATGGCTGTCCAGTTTCTTTTTGAAGGTCTCTGGTGTGGGAGAGCCCCCCATCTCTCTAGGTAGCTGGTTCCACTGCTGTATTGCTCTGACAGTGAGGAAGCTTTTTCTGATGCCTAGTCTGAATCTGATCACAGTTTTGTTTCTGTGCGAAGTGATGCAGTTATATTTTTGTGTGTGCAGCTTTAATAATTGCACAGTTTGTGTTATCGTGGGCATTTCTAAATAGTCATCATTTAAATCAGCCAACTCTTTCTGTTTTCCTTACCCACCTCTCTCAGTCTGCTTATACAATACTTCTAGTTACAGAAGTTAGTGCTTGCAAAATAAATTAAGAATCTGAGGTTTTCTTTTAAATGTTAGTGGGAAAAGTGCTTTAATGAACATAATGAGTAACTGAGGGGTGTCAGTAATTTTATTGTCCCAAATGGAAAGTTGCTAGCTGCATTAACATTTTTATTCTATTGTATGAAACTAAAATGGAAACCATTTTCCTGGCAATCTGATTTGATTAAAATAAGACTCCAACTACTTTTTAAAATGTAGGGGTGAAGTCCAGTGAATACTTAGAACAGTATGCTGAACAGTAAAGTTTGCAAGATTGGACTGTTACTAAACAGTACTGATCTATCATTTCTCTTACTCTGCTTTTATAATACATTGTAACTTTTTATCTATCTTGGCAACAGATATAATGTGCTAGTCCTCAAAATGCTCATTGTTACCTGTAAATATTGTAGGGAAAATATGTATCAAGCTCTACTGACCTTTAGGTGGCAGTATTGACTTTAAAGATGCCACTTAAATGCCTTTGTGTCCTTGGTACAACAATGAAATGATTGGAAACCATAGATTGCAAATCTTCTTACAGTGATAATACGTAGCCCAAATTTTCTCACATGCAAGGATAAGTTCTTGTGTTGCTGATTTTAATGTCCTGAAACTATTTTTAAGGCATGAAGTGGAGCTGTATCTGACCCCCCCCCCCCCAACCCTGAAGCATACTAGACAACTTACTTACAAGACTGTAGTTATGGGCTTTTTAACTAAATAGACTAAATAGTTCCTAAATGAGCTGGACGTAAGTGTCGCTATATCTTGTACAGTGCCATAAACTTTAAACCTGTATGAAATTTAGATTGTTCTTAAGTTTCTTTTTGCACTGAAGATGCATCATGATTATGATTTTCGGGG